GAAAACACAACGACATTAATAAAAACACTACAACATTAATGAAAACAGAACAACATTAACAAAAACACTACAACATTAACAAAGCACAAATACAAATTCAAAAACACAACAACATTAACGAAGCACAAATACAAATTCAAAAACACTACAACATTAACGAAAAGACAACAACATTAATGAAAACACAACAACATTAACCTAAACACAACGGAAATGGTATGTCCCAGTGGGTGACCTAAGAAGTCGCTGATTGGACTACAGCTCGTTTTACTTTTGAACCGGAAGTTATTCTGGCTTTAACGTGTTTTTTAAAAACATGAATGTTCTCCGTGATCAAAACCTTACTTCTGCTATTCGAGAGTATTTTGACTCAGGATATACATATGAGGTGATACTGGACATGCTGGACAGACCAACCACGAAGTGTCAGTTAGTATGCGTTCATATCTGTGTTTTTCAGATGTGAAGTTAATGTTGTTGTGCATTCGTTAATGTCGTAGTGTTTTGCACCTCAGGGCCACCGTACTAGAGGGTGTGTTAAAAAAAACAGCTATAGAAATCCAGCTTCTACTACATGCCAGCTGGCAATAGTAAAATTTGACTTTGAAAGTGGTGTTCCTTTATTACTTTGAAGAATTCAAAGTGTAGTTAAAAATGCATTTTCTTCCCCCTAGGATGTGCACTTAGCTGGAAGAGCAAGGTGTGTGGTAGAGGCTGACATTTTTTCGGGAATCCCACGGGTCACGGGATTCCCGCGGGATTCCTGCGGGATGGGAGTCATCTTCGCTATTAATCACGGGATTGGGACGGTACAGGATGAATGGTTAACGGGAGCAGACGGGAGCGGGAATCAACCAATAGCAAAGACGAAAAAAAAAAAAAGTAAATCCACCATTTTGTAGTTTCCTTTTAATATCCATTCAATGTAACGCAATTAAAAAATAACTACATGACCCAGTGGTCCCAGAAGCCATCGGTGCTTTTTGTCACGGCTAACCGCCAGAATTCAAATAGCAGTGATGGAGGGAGCTAACAGCCGCGGAGACGTCGATGCAGCAAAAAATGATTTACAGCGGAAAGTGAGATGTAACGACATTTCTATTAAGTTCACAGAACTGGTCGGAAAGTCTGACATATTATTTAAGTTTAAAAGAGTGGAATGTGATGGTGTTAGCACGGTGTACGCTGCTTGTAAGACTTGTTTAGTGTTGGTCAAGTACGCGAGTGATTCGGGGACGAGCGGTCTGAAGAGGCACACTTGCAAGGCAGATTCGGGAAAGAATCAGCCAAGCATTCATCAAGCGAATATTGCCGTCGGGTGTCAAGTCTCGTCTGACCGACAAAATTGCTCGCATGTGCAGCCAAGATCTCAGACCCTTTGCTATATATAAAAATATATATATAAAAAATATACGGGAGCGGTACAGGAGCGGGAGTCAGTTTAAACGGGAGCGGGATGGGAGCGGGAGTCAATTTACCAGGAGCGGGATGGGATGGGATTATTTTTTAAACTTTGGTCTGGGAGTGGGACGGGACAAGATTTCTTTCTATGGGAGTGGGACGGGACAGGAGTGAAAATCCACTCCCGTGTCATCCTCTAGTGTGTGGCAGATGGAGGAGTTTAGATGTCAATTTAAAAACTGGAGGGCTCCTTACACATCTCCTAAAGAGCTTACCTGTACTCGATTTGATTGTCTCTTGCCCGACAGTTTGCCCAAGCAGATCGTATTGGTTGAGGCGAGAACTCTCTCCTTCAACCACAACTGAGTCTGACGCATTTCGAGTCCAGGCGTAAGTCACTTCTGAGATGGTGTAGGCATCTAAAAACATTTTTAAAAGAGAAAGGGAAATGGCCCAAAAGGGATCATTCTGGGGCAGTTCCAGCTGTCAATGATTTTTTTTTTATTCATTTAATTGACCCAAATTAAAATTCCCTCCATACTTTGTTTTAATGATGTAAGAAACAGAAATAAAAATGGCAATAAGCAACTGATGCTTGGTAACAGGGGCCTCTGTGACTCTAGAACAAATGCTAAATATGACTGTAGTGTTAACTAAGTTGAGGTTATCTGGTCAAATCAGTAATTTGAATTAGATCCTGAATGAGCGCACAGATCAATGTACAACTGCACAAAGCTACATGGATGCAGTGAAAGCAAATCGGCTATCTAATATATTTGGGAAGTCAAGGCATTTCAGACATGGTCCATTTAGTTCTGATGCTCAGATGATGGCTTTTAAGTGAAAAGTAACTTTTAAAAAGCTGTTCAAATACACACAATAAACAATCATGAATCCCAATAATAGTGCTAAAAATTGACAGCTTAATACTGTGGAACTGAGCCTTGCAATTGGACTTTGCTTCACCCGTTAAGACAATCTTTTGCCAAAGAACCAATGAAAGGCAGAAAAAAGTTCCCTAAGCACTGTCATCATCACAATTACTCACAGCTGCCAAATTTTAGTGGACAGGAATGAAAGTCCATGGGGAAATCCTCCAGATGCATGGGGCACTCTGCATGCACTGTTAACCTGCATCCAATTCACAGAGCGTTAAGACTTTGCAGATTGATGAAAAGCAAACATTACAAACCAATTATCATCGTACAATGACTCAAACAATCAAAGAAGAAAAGAAATAAAAAGAATGCTGAAAAAGCCTTGCACGCTGTTCAAGAAGCTTCCCATCTTTAATGCCTTGAAATAGTGATCTTTGCCTTAACTGTGACTGATGCAGCAAAAAAATTAGGTGCTAATAATGATAAAGAATAGCGTCTCTAATTGTAAGTTTGCACTGTGATAACAAACTAGTGTTGTTTCATACAAAAGTAAGCTTGAGTAAAATACGTCAGTTTTATGAACACTTTCATGCTTACTGATAGGTATCAAAAAGCTGGCTTTCAAGACATTTCTAAACAAATTTTTAGCTTAATTAACCATATGATCCATAGGACTATATGATACACCCACCCTTCCAAATTACAGGTACTGTAAGATACTGTAGAGTGCCATATTTTCAAGCAAGCCATGGTTGTTCTAGGTTCAAAAGAATATTTGCACGACAACATATATTTTTTGCCAATAAGGTAAATTAGCTTCGGGGCTAGTGACGGCCTCCCAGGCCCAGCAAACATGACGTGAATAAATTGTGATTTTACTGTCATTCAGAACATCTGACAGTCAGTTTATGATCACTAAACTCCAGCATGCATTTATTCATTATCTCATTGTTAGTATCCCTTTTGGCTGAGCAAAATACTTCTCATAGCTTGCATTAGCATCTCATTTTATGGTGTGCAGAGATGCTATGATCGATTGTTGTTGTTGTTTGTTTTGATTTATTATGGCAAAAACTAAAACAAAATGCATAATTGTTTTCAGCCCTGATGTAACAAGTGTGCCAAGTATGCATACTAGTTTATCTAAAATCTATTCAAGAGAACTGCAAAACCTGCTTGTTAAATTTGTGTTTGACCAAAGGTGTGTTTTTCTATTGTGATTCTAAGCTGGGTTACATGCTGTGCTATTAAGACAGGCAAAAAGACAGCAGCACCTTTAAATTTGGTTTACAGACAAAATGCCATCACTATCACATACACAACGTCATGTAGTTTACTTTGGATATAAGCATGGCCAATTTAATTACCTCATAGTGTACAGAAGTGTCCCGTCATCGTTGATCCTCAACAGCTTGTTGGGCATGGTCATGTTATGAGCCACAGACTTTTTCCCATTGTGAAAGAAGGTGTCAGGGGTCCATATTTTACTTGCCATTAGGTTGTTGAGGGGCAAAGTATTCATTGGTCCATGAAATTTCAACCTCTCATCCTTCCAGCTTTGCCGGAAGAAAACATCTATGGTGTATTCCTGGCAGCAGAGGATATTAAATAGTGAAGTGATACCATTCCCGCACACATTTGTTCAAGTCAAATAAACAGTGCTTTTTCCACTCTCAGTATTTGTGGATGCCTACAAACAGTGCTGTTCACAATTTAGTTTGTCCATCCCCTTAAAACATGGACACCGTTTTTGTCTTTTTTTGAAAGCTCCATATCAAGCTAAGGTCTTCAACCCCTATGTAATCACCCTCCCCAAATGGTGATCCCCTAACTTGGCTGTAAGGCGACAACAACCTCTTGACCTCAGTTGCCAGAAGAAGCCCCGTGCAGATGAATTTGGGCAGAATTCACTGGACTGTGAAATAAGTGTATGTCTAAGAGTTTGTGTGATTCCCACACGAAGACAAAAGTAAGAGACAAAGAACTGTTTTTTTTTTTGTTAAAGTTGAATAGCACAGCACAACATCCTCCAGGATAAGGGGAGGCTTCCAGTTTTTTCATTTCACAGGTTTGTTTTTTTATTTATAAATCTTTCCAGCAAAAGGTCAAATCTAATAGGGGTATTTTCTTTTATCTGTAATCTGGAATATTTAGAAAATTTAGGAATATTTAGAAAATGTGAGGATCCACACATTTATTTAAAACTAATACTTTTTCCATACTTATTGGGCTACCTGCGTCACTTTCGATATAATAACTGTGTTAAAAAGCCCTTTTAGCCTGTGAATAATGAAGGATGGGGTGTTTTCCTATCCTTCAGATATGTTTGTATGGGTGTCTATCTGTTTATTAGAAAGATACTTCAAAAACAAGATTTTGAATGATTTGGCCGAAAAGCATCTCATAAATGCCGATTTTGTTCAGTTAAGGTTCCTCTATACTTATCTTTAAAAGGTTGATGCATTGCACATCCAAGTTCTTAATTTTTAAATCAATAGATCAATCACTTTGAGAAGGCTGATGAAATGATGTGAAGGTGGCTGCATGCATCAGAATGACAAACAGGAGAGCTCAGGATAAACAAAGGAGTGACTTGAATAACAAGAAGACTTTTGATAATGTATGAGATGAAAATTGTCAGATGAATAGACATTGTGCTAGAGTGAAGAAAACATGTCCTACATTAGTATCGCAAAATCAGTGTGTCCGTAGGTGGCCAGGCTTTACCCACCCATGGAGCCCGGCCAGGCCAAGCCCAAAGAGGACACATGGGTCCCTCTTCCAATGGGCTCACCACCCATAGGAGGCCAAAGGGGTTGAGTGCGATGTGACCTTGGCGCACCGGTCCCCAGCTGCAGAAGCTGACTAGGGACGTGGACTGCCACTTCTCTGATGGTGAAGGAGCCTGAGTTGGTGTGCAGATTCCGGCTAGACATAATCAGTCTCGCCTTCGACACACAGCTCTGGCACTGGAACCAGTCTACTTGAGAGGAGTTGGATGCTCTTCCATTCTGTGAGGTGCCAAGCAGGAATGGGCATACTTGTTGCCCCCCATCTTGGTGCCTGTACATTGGGGTTCAAGCACGTTCCAGGGGAGGTCGGGCCATGTTCCGCATCTCCATTGTCGACGTGGCTTCCCAGAGCTGCAGTACCAGGGTTGTCTGTGCCTGTCTTGGTGGTAACCCTCGAACCCACAGGTGGACATCAGCGGTGAGGGATTCTGTCAGGCAGAGGAAATAGTCCTATTGGGCCTTCTTGGCCTGTGGGACTCTAAAGGCAGCTGATGGGTATCAGCCGTCCAAGCGGCATGCGGCTCGGGTGGTTGCCAAAGCAAAAACTTGGGCTTGGGAGGAGTTCGGGGAGGCCATGGAAAAAGACTTCCGTACGGATTCGACGCGATTCTGGTTCACCATCCGGAGATTCAGGGGCAGAAGCAGCGCTCCAGCAAAACTGTTTACAGTGGGGATGGTGCGCTGTGGCTTCAACTCGTGACGTTGTGGGTCAGTGGGAGGAGTACTTCGAAGACCTTCTCAATCCCACTGGCATGTCTTCTATTGGAGGAGCAGAGCGTGGGGATCTTCAGTCTCTGGGGCTGGTGGTGGGTGGTCAAAAAGCTCCATGGTGGCAAGGCTCCGGGGGTGGATGAGATTCGGCCGGAGTTCCTTAGGGCTCTGGATGTTGTAGGGTTGCGTTGGCTGATGTGACTCTGCAATATCGCGTGGACATCAGGGGCACCTCCACTGGATTGGCAGACTGGGGTGGTGGTCCCCATATTCAAAAAGAGGGGTGTAGAGTGTGTCCCAACTACAGGAGAATCAGTTTCTTAAGCCTCCCTGGGAAGGTCTATTCGGCGGTTCTTTAGAAGACGGTCCGTCAGATAGTCGAACCTCGGATTCAGGAGGAGCAGTTGGGTTTCCGTCCTGGCAGTGGAATGCTGGACCAGCTCAATACCCTCAGCGGGGTCCTAGAGGGTGCATGGGAGTTTGTCCAACCTGTCCACGTGTTTTTTTAACTGGGGAAGGCGTTTGAATGTGTCCCTTGAAGAATCCTGTGGGGGGTGCTCCGGGAGTATGGTGTACCAGGCCCTTTGTTACGGGCTGTTAAGTCCCAAGTCAGAGCTTGGTTTGCATCGCCGGTAGTAAGTCGGACCCGTTTCCAGTGAGAGTTTGACTCCGCCAAGGTTGCCCTTTGTCGCCGATTCTGTTCATAACTTTTATGGACAGAATTTCTAAGCGCAGCCAAGGTGTTGAAGCTGTCCGTCTTGGTGGCTTTAGGATCGCATCCCTGCTTTTCGCATTTGACATGGCTCATTGACTTCATCAAGTATGCTGATCTACAGCTCAAGCTGGAGCAGTTCATAGCCAAGTGCAAAGCGGCTGGGATAAGGATCAGTGCCTCCAAGTCCGAGACCATGGTCTCTAAACCGGAAAAGGGTAGAGGGCCTCCTCCGGGTCGGGGGGATGTGCCTCCTCAAGTGGAGGAGTTCAAGTACCTCAGGCTCTTGTTCGTGAATGGGGTTATGGAGCGGGAGACTGACAGGCGGATCAGTGCGGTGTCAGCAGTAATGAAGACGCTGTACCAGTCTGTCGTGATGAAGAGAACTGTGCTTAAAAGCGAAGCTCTCAATTTATCGGTCAATCTACGTTCCCACCCTCATCTATGGTCACGAACTTTGGGTAGTGACTGAAAGAACGAGAACGCGGATACAAGCGGCCAAAATCTGTTTCCTCCGCAGGGTGGCAGGGCTTTAGAGATAGGGTGAGGAGCTCGGCCATCCGGGAGGGGCTCAGAGTTGAACCGCTGCTATTCCACGTTGAGTGGAGCCAGTTGAGGTGGTTCGGGCATCTGAAGAGGATGCCTCCTGGTTGCCTCCCTGCTGAGGTGTTCCGGGCACATCCCACTAGTAAAAGCCCCAGAGGAAGACCCAGGAGACGCTGGAGAGACTATGTATCTCCGCTGGCTTGGGAACGCCTTGGGATCCCCCCGGAGGAGCTGGCAGAAGTGGCAGGGGAGAGGGAAGTCTGGGTTTCCCTGCTTTGGCTGCTGCCCCCGCGACCCGATCCAGGATAAGTGGTGGAAAATGGATGGATTGAGGGAACTTCTAAAACAAAATAAATATTCTTATATGGACTCACCATGTCTGTGTCTGAAACCGGTCCGAAGCTGGTGACGTAGATGTTCGTCTTCACTTCAGTCACCCTGTCTGGATCAGAGGGAACCATGTGAGACATTAAAACATTAGAAAAAAAAAACTGGACAGTTCAAACATTTAGCTATTTTTAACACTACACAACTGCAATTATCGTATTTGTCGGCTAATGCTGCAGTTAGTCAGTCTTTTGTTTGAGCCAAGTGACAGTCTTCAAATGGTTTTAAAAGTCTTCACTGGTGTACAAACAGTACGAATAGTCCAACTCAATTCTTTGTACGTTTAGCCATCGAACAAAGTCAACAGATAAATATTTATAAGACAGAAAATTAAGTGGGATTTTGTTTGTTTTTATATTTATAATTGGCTGTATTTGATACAGCATACACATACAGTTTGAGTCCAGTAGAGTGTATATATGCATGAGTGATTAAAACCTTTCCATCCCCTTTTTTCATATCACTCATAAATCTAATTGGTCCACTGTTGTTGGCGCCATGAAAAAAACATGTATTAGCTGCACCGTATTATGTGCTGCAGTGTTCAGAGTGTGGGAAAAAAAGTAGCGGCTTATAGTCTGGAATTTACGGTAAGTATGCTCACTCTTGTTGGCTCTGTCCTTTGAAGGACACATCCTCTCACTGGTTCTTTTCCAGATGACACCAAAGACACATAAACAATTAAATATATTTATGCAAAACTATTAAATCTCTTCTGGCATTAAAACCAAACTAAAATCATATGTAGAATACCAGTCAATTAAAATGACTGAATGAATCTTTTGACCAGAATTCAATGTTGAATTAAAAAGCTTTGAATCTATTTCAGCTAAAGAATTACATTACAGAATTATATCTGTTTGAGGCACAGGGCATGCAGGCTAAGCAGCTTTGTGTGAATATGCTTAGGAAAACCTTGACGAAGATAGATCAGAACCACTGCTGTGGAAATTGTGGTAAATTGACACAGACAACTCGTTTGGTATTCCATTTACTGAGCTAGAATAGCATACGAGCTATGACAACAAGCATATTTAACGTAAAAACTAGAAAAAACAGAAAGCCTGTTATGCTTTCCGCTCAAGTGAAAGCATATAGCTGCATCCATGCGTCCGCATCAGGTCTTTTTACATATTCAAGATTCTGTCTCTTTCAATAATTACTGAAGCTCCATAACTTGTGCTTGGGCAATTCGAAAGGCTTTTCAGGTTTTACTCTGCAAAGTAAACAGCATCAAATCGAAAGAGATAATTACTTTTAAGTAAAGGATGCACCACCTTTTATATCTCTTTGACAAGGCCTGCCAAACAAATGCCTCATAACGGACTCAGAGCTGCAAGTAAAGGTTGACTGTCATTTGTCTTCTATTTTACAAACAAAAAATGAGAAATCATTTTTGCTGAATGAATGCTTTTTGATGTGCTGCATTTTAGATTTGGAAAAAGATGCTTTTTTAAAATATTCTTTGCACAATCAACTCTTCTTCTCTAAGTCATTTCTTTGAGGCCCTGAACCTGAAAAGGCTACACAAACAGATCTCTGCACAAATCCTCCATCACAGACTTAGAAAGTATCAAAGATCTTGCTGTAGGCACTGAAGTATCTGTAAAAGGAACATTTTCTACGACTGTTCTTAAATACAGCCTCAATGTGACATTTGGCATCTGGTTTTAGCAGTTTTTAGTTTTAAGTGTTCTCTACAAGCTCCAGGTATTCTCCGAGGATATGAATAGATTATGACCATTTTTCATAAAATCAACATTAAGGTGAGGGTGACAAGACTTGCAAAGAAGTGAGAAATGTAAACCTACAGGGTCCAGTGGTGGCCATGTCCTGGTAACCAGACACACAGCCCTCCAGCTTCTCAAGCAGTGGTCTGTTTGTGAGGCAGTCACTATCCCTGATGATTGGAGAGGCTGCGTTTTCTGGAGCATAGAATTAGATCCATCCTTTGCCACCTGCTTTGTCCAGTGTCATGTGAATGGGTTTGGAATCTTCAAACAAAACCCTGGTATAGCAAGAAACTGTTGTTCATTTGCTTTCTTATGTGGATCGATAAAATTGTCAGTGATCCATGACGTGAAACGTTACAGGATGATAACTAGTCTGTATTTGTTCAGATAAGTTTGTTTTTACGCATCAGCAGAATAGGCTCTGGTAATTTTGGAGCCCTAGGTGCCATATCTGACCCCATAGATCAGAAATGTGTTCCATTTGGCCAATTTTATTCTCCGTATTTTTTACGAACAGAATAACTCAGAATGTCTTTCATGACCTCTGGCATTGGTTGGAGGCACGCAGAATTTCACACCCAAGCTTTCCAGGGCCTTAGGCCCCTGGGGATAACATTATCTGGACCCACAGCCTTGGTTCAAGTCTCTCCAGCTGCTTCCTCACGTGACTGCTGGAGGCTGCCAGAGGAGGCAGAGAAGGCCTAATGGCAATTTTCCTTTAGTACCCACTCAACACACCTCACCACAGCTCAGTTAAGGTTTTTTTTCCACAACAAATGAGCTTTATTCTAGTCACTCTACTCTCTGAATTAGTAGCCTGCGTTCTGCCATCAGCCAAGCTTGCATGGAACCCATTGCCAAGTAGGTTCTAAAATGATAACTGTTAGGAGGCACCAGCCCCTAATAAAGATGCAAAAGAACATTTTAAAAAATACCAGCTACACTGAGTAGAATTTAGAAACTTGGAAAAGCCCCTATAATGGGTGAGTAGAATGTTTTGCGAGGCTATGTTAAAATCCATGGGGTGACTTGGGGGAGTGAAAACGTTTTTTTTTTTACCAGGGCAGGTGTAACATATGTGAAACTTAAAGATACACGGTGTAGGAATTTCTCCCATCCAATGGTGAAATTGTATTTTGCATTCTAACAAATTGTGCTCTTTAGTGCCTTGCGTTTTCAAATGGCTATTGCAACTACGGTAGCCGTCATGCATCAACAAGTAATGACAACGTGACTTCCACATCATCGAGTTTTCTCTCAGGTGATGAGGTTTGTAATAAAAAAAAAGTGATTAATTAAATTCATTTTAAAAATGTAATAATTTTAAAGTCACTTTCAGTCTCTTTTCAAATTTCAGTCACTTGACTCTGGATCTGAATGAAAATGCTTTGGGGAAAAGCTAGACATGTAGACTAATGCTTCATGTCCCTCTCTGCGATTATTGTTTTTCAAAATGGCAGAACAACATAGAAACCTCCGTGGACATATGTATATAAAGATAGGAAATGTTTCGCTTATGAGGAGAAGTCAGATCATTGCAGAGGTAATTTTACACCAAATGAGGACACATTTAAAGATGAAGAAAATGGTTTAGGCTAATTAAATACTTAAAATACTACTCTTTTTTAACTGTTGCTAGACACTCATTCTGTCTCTGAAGAGCTTTTTCATGTTCAGCACTTTTTTCAGGTCACTTAATTGTCCTTGTGTGCTTGGTACTTGCCACCAAATGTTATTGTAGTTTGTCTCACACTATCAAGTCCTGACATTATCATCATCTACATGTGGTTCACAGAATACTTCTGGTCTGTATAGTTTCAAATCACTCCTTTATAGTTTGTTCAGCTTCCTGAGAACATCTCTTCAAACTCTATTTGACAGCATCTTGCTGTTAAACAATAAAGAAATTGATGGACAGTTAGAGGTTCAGCTGAGAACAAGACATGATTTAAAATTAAAGGCTCTTTTTGTGGATATTATGAACAAAATGTCACTGCTAACAGTTTCATGTTGCAAAAGCAGAACCTCAGTCATAGAGACAAAACCAAATCCCTCAGTTGTCTTTCCTTAATAACTGTTGGCCTGATAGTCAGGTTCTCTTCTATTCCAACATCCAAGTATCTGCAGGGACCAGTTAGTGTTTCTTTGGCATCTGACAAAAACAGGGAAATTACCTGTAAATTACAGACTGTATGATAATACCAACATGTCTTGTTTATAAGGTGATGCAAATCAAGAAGAGAACGCAGGCTGCGAGATGAGAGGTTAAATTCATTATCAAGGCATACAGCTATAAAGATTGGGGTTTGTATGTCTATGGGGATAATTAAAAGTTGTTATATTTACTGTGCAGCTTATTCCCAACAGGGTCGCGGCGGGGCGGGGATACGTGGTACAGAAAATGGATGTCCATGTCATGACACAGTTTTCCATTCAAATGAAACAGCATTGAATATTGAGCAAAGCTTTTTTCTGTTTATTTTCTCCTGGAAAAAGGAACAGGATGCTGCATTTCATAATATGAATAAAACTGAGCTTGAGGCTCAGTTTTCGGCTGTGGCTTTAATGTGTCTGCCATTTTGTTTATTTGTCGTTTGCACTGGGCCTTTGGTATTTAGTTTTATTCAATTATTATTTTTGTCTGTGTTCTAACAAATTGTTTTGACCACCCATTAAAACCCCTCCTTAGGTGTAATTATTTTTATACTTTTTTGTTTTTTTGTTTTGTTGTTGTTTTTTTGTTGTTATTTCTCACACGACATATCAAATAATAAAGGCTGCTTGATCAACAACTATTCAGTTCATTTAACATCAGTGCTTTTAGCATGACAGCAGGGGATGATTTTTGTCAAAGAAAAAAACAACAACCCTGTGTTAAAAACAAAAGACCCAGCTTAGGCCCACTTGGGTTGGACATTGGGATCATATTCAAAACAAAATTATATCTTTGCAGCAGTAAACCTAGAAAAGCACAGCCGTCAGGGAGTGCGTGTGTTTACTGTTTGAAAATATCAAGAGTGCATTTAGTGCCTTAGGACTTTAGGATACATGGGAACAAGTATAATACCTAAAGTTCATTTATTCAGCGACAACAGTCAGAGACAAATGCTTTTTATGCAATTTGAATCATTTGGTGCAGATGGGCCTGCTGAACCATATTTAATTGGTGTGACACAACCTGCCTCTGTGTGCATTGCACTGTGCAACTCTCTAAATGTCAACTTAACTCCTGCAAGTTTGGACGTTGATAAGGAACATTTGCAAAAACAAAAAGTTTAACCCTTTTCCGTGAATTACATCATGTCAGAGATTAACTCAACACTGCATGAGCTGTCCTCAGTTTTAATAGCAGCAAATAAATCAACTGTGTGAAACTGCCACCCTCCTCTGCCAACTACTGATTACTGAGAATTAATTATACTTTCACTTCGATGAAATGTATTAGGTACCTAATGTTAACATTTGCTGAAGATTACTTAACTTACTTAAACTGACTTGTTTTAGGGCAGCGGCGGCGGTCAGATAAGAAATCAGACTATTCTATTGAAAACAAGTAACATGAGATGTTGAAATTGTAAAGACAATGCTGGGTCAATTTTAATTGCACAAATCGGACCGACACGAAAAACCTTAAATGTGTTTGACAGTTTGGAAAGTAAAAAAATCAGTGCTACAAACTGAATCCAAATCAATTTGCTTAAGCGCCTTAAAATATACTGTACAGTTAGAGGATAATTGTCTCTATGTATTACTGCAATTCATTTCTTTCATGTCATACCAAGTCAAATTTGACCTTATGGTAAAGTATGGAGTGCAGCTGAACGCAACAGATATGAAGGGGTGTTTTTCAACCCGATTATCATTAGACAATTTATTCTCTCAACTGCTATTTGCTTTTTAGGTTTGATATATTACTTTTGTTTTCTTTGATGGACTCAGAAGCATAGACATTAGCCAAGCAAGAAGCCCATGAAACCAGTGTTGTCATCATAAGTTGAAGCACCGTTTTGAATTTTTTCCATCATTAGTTTTTAAAAATGAAATGATTAAGAGAGAATAAAAGAAAATAAAGACTAAAACTAATTAACAAGAGTGTCTGGGGTTGAGGGGTGAGAAAAAATTATGTTTTCTAAATTCTCGAAAGGAAACACTAAAACACACATTTAATCTCTGCCATTTTAATTAATAAAGGGACCTTTTTCCTCTGTTTATTTGGAACATAAGGTTAGAAGTGAAACTAGGCTGAGGCTCTCCTGAGCTCAGCCTTATCAGGAATTTTTTACTTCTTGTACACTCAGTTACTTTTATTTAAATGACCATTTATCTATGGTAAACAGGCATTATGTTGCAATTTGTCAGTGGCAGCTTGCAAATACTCAGTCTGTCTCCTTGCTGATTATATCAGCATATTATTTCATGACTGATTCATAGCAGTAAGAGTTACTGAGCCACCCAGCCACCCAGTTGAGTCAAACTTACAAATATCTGATGAGCACTTTTGTCGTGGGCTGTATGCGAAACGCAAACGAAATTTCATTCTGTGTGCACTCTGTGCATGCAAAATGACAGTAAAGTTGTCTAAGTCTATATGATGGAATGGCCTTGTTTGTATGGACAGATAGATAGATAGATAGATAGATAGATAGATAGATAGATAGATAGATAGATAGATAGATAGATAGATAGATAGATAGATAGATAGATAGATAGATAGATAGATAGATAGATAGATAGATAGATAGATAGATA